AGACAATCCTATCCATAATCCAGTGGTGAAATCTAAAATTTGTTACTACCGGTTCTGTGGGCGTGGCTTGGTGGGGGGGGTAATGTGACTGTGTGGGCGTGGCCATTTTTTTTTTTACTTACTTTTAAAACCATTTTTTCTACAACCTCTTCGGCGAACAGGTTGTAAAAAAATGCTTTCAAAAGGCTCTGACGATCCCAGCTGAGTTGCCTGATCAGCAGAGGCTTTTTTAAAAAAAGCTGAGTTGCCGATCAGGCAACTCAGTTGGGATCGTCAGAGGCATTTAAAAGAAAAATAGGGTTTTTTTTCTTTTAAATGCCTCTGACGATCCAAGCTGAGTTTTTTAAAAAGCCTCTGTCGATCAGGCAACTCAGCTTGGATCGTCAGAGGCATTTAAAAGAAAAAAAGGATTTTTTTTCTTTTAAAAGCCTTTGACGATCCCAGCTGAGCCATGCAATCATCAGCGGCTTTTTTTTTTTTACTTTTAAAAGCATTTTTTCCGCTGAAGAGGTTGTAGAAAAAATGCTTTTAAAAGTAAAAAAAAAAGCCTCTGATGATTGTGCTGCTCAGCTGGGCATGGTGCGGGGGACAGGGATTTTTGCTACTGGTTCTCCAAACCACCTGCCTCCATCGCTACTGGATCGGCCGATCCGGTCTGAACCGGGAGCATTTCACCCCTGCCATAATCTCAAAAATGGACTCATACTGTATATTAATATGAAGGATAATAAGATAACTATCTCAGGTACTATGCAAACCAATGAGAGGATACAGTTTTTCTAGTTGGAATCCTTCAATCTTTCCTTCTAGGTATGATTGAAAAGTATGCCAAAGAAATGACTCGGAGGGGATGTTCTTTGAATTTGGTACCTCCCTTAACGTGGAATTGCCACTCTGACTTCACATATTTAGTGGGAGATTAGCTTGTTTCTCTCTCCCATTACCTTTCTCCTTCCTTCTGCCAAGCTCTGGTAAAGCTGGTCCTGACAACACAACTCCTTGGTCATGTGGAACCTCATGGAGATAAAAGTCAAACATTGACTTTCGTAGTCAAATTGTCTTTAAAAGAGTTATTACCTTACCACAGATGTTCTTATGGATCATTTCCTTTCAGCATTTGAAATTTGTATAGACCAAAGCACTAACTACTATGAGTAAAGCATATATATTTTATAAGTATTACGTAACAACATAAGGACTAAACAGCTGCAGAAAGAAAGAAAAAACACTCCCAAGAAGTACTAAGCATTAACAATAGTAGACTGATTTGACACTCTTCATGTTAACATTTTCTTTTAACACACAGTTTAACTAGTTCGGTACAGTAGAAATCTGAATCAAGATTATTATATTTTATTTTGGTTTTACTTTATCTTATCAAAGGACCTTCCATGCAATGGTTTAATACTTATAATTCCATTCACCAAAGAGAATTGTTGAGCAAAGCTATAACAATATTTCAGCTCCGGGAAAACTGCATTTTTTTCCAATAGTGATTGCAACATTTTGTTCCTGAGAAAGCACTGCATCTCTTTCTCACCCAAGCTCTTGTATAATTAGCATACCAAGGACAAGAGACAGTGCTATGTAGTGCTATATGGAATGAAAAAAATTGTATGGGATGGTAACATGCATATATATGTAGTCAGTGACTTATGATCACCATTAGGCTGGACCGAGCGGAGCAGCGGAGCAGGCAATGGAGTGCGCCTGTGCAGCTGGCGCATAGAAAAGGGTGGCGGCGTGTTGGAAAAATGGAGCTGGAAGTCAGTCATTTTTGCTTCAAGAAGCCTGTAGCCGCATCTTTTTTTCGGTGCAGCTGGACTCTGGCGGCTGCAGGCATCCTGCAACAAGGGGGTAGAGATGCAGGCTGATAGGGAGCCCAGCGGTGACAACGGCTCAGCCCTAGCTTGCCTTCCCTGGCAACCAGACATAGGAGGAAGGGAAGATTGCAGCCACGGGATGACAAAAGAGGCGGTCATGGGGGAGGAAGTGGGGAGATTAAGGGCCAGGGCCTCTGAAGGAGGGGAAACAGGGCAATGCGTCATGCTTAAGGGAGAGCGGGCAGCGGGCGGAGGCTCTGGGGCAAGACCGAAGCCAGGGAATCTGGCATTCCCCAACCTGGCTGATGTGGGCAGTGAGCAAGCAGACCTCCAGGGCAAGGCCCAGGCCAGAGCTGGGGAATGGAGCATTCCCCGACCTGGTCGAGGTAAATGGCGAGTGGGCGACAGTTCTGGGGCAAGGCCAGAGCTGGGGAATCATGCATTCTCTGACCTTACCGAGGGCAGGAGACATGCATTGCTTAACTTTGGTTAGCTGAGCTAAGCAGTCATTGGTGAGGCAACTGGCGAGGCGATTAGCTGGGCCATGTAGCGAAGGCAACATATATAGGGTGGGGGTGGGCGGGGTGAGCATCGAGCAGCTGAAAGGGGTGAGCGAGCGGTGACAGGGCGACTGAGCGGGGGCATGGCCAGCCAGAAGTGGCTACCAGTTCGGCGACCCAAGCCAAATTGTCGCTACCGGTTCTCCCGAACTGGTGCAAACCGGCTGACTACCACCTCTGGTTAGAATGCAGTACTGCAAGCTACTTCTGCTGACTGCCGGCTGACTGCAATTTGGCAGTTCGAATCTCACCAGGCTCAAGGTTGACTCAGCCTTCCATCTTTCCAAGATCAGTAAAATGAGGACCCAGATTGTTGGGGGCAATATGCTGATTCTGTAAACTGCTTAGAGAGTGCTGTAAAGCATGGTGAAGTGGTATATAAGTCTAAATGCTATTGCTTTTGCCTTTGTGGCACTTATGGAATGGAGAAATAGAAAACCAAACCCAGAGATGCTGACCAAAAGCTTCTATCCTCCACTGCAATGTTCAAGATTGTATCTCATCCTTTAATTATCTTAAATTACAATATACTTTATTTTGAAAATGTCAGTATGTCATGAGTCTTGATGGTAGAAGCTCCCCACCAGTCAATAACTGTGTTCCATGTGCCTCAGTGTATGCTGGCCACATAACCATAGAAGTGTTTTTGGACAAGGCTGTCACCCTTGGCTAAGAAATGGAGATGAGCACCCCACCCCCTAGAGTTAGGCATAACTGGACAGGGGAAACCTTTACCGTTACACTCAATTTAAATATAATTCCCCCATAATATTTTAATTTCCTTTCCAGATCCAAATACAATCATTTTGCATCTAGTCAGAACTTCATACACTTTTGTGATTTTTAACCCACAATTAAACGCAAACATCCTCCACTACTAACTCCTTCCAAGCAATTATCTGGAGATCTTATTTCAGAAGAGTCCATCGTTTTCTTGACTAGCTGCCTAGTTTTCAACAAAAATACAGCCAAAAGATATAAAGGGAAATAATTTTTCTAATTATTCAGCATTTCTAAAGGAGGTTATTTTCTAAATACAATAGAGTAGTTCAGAAACATTCTCCATAATGACATGTCAGTTCATGGAAATCATATGTCATCATGAATGTACTGTATATACTTTCTGCTGAAATATTAATATGTGTAATCAAGGAAATTGGACAATATCATTATCTATTTTTGTCAATAATATGATCCTGTCCAAGTTGTCACAGGAAGCAATTGTCTGTTTCCAACTCCACCATTAACGTCATGAAACTGTAATAATGGTAAGTTACCAGGACTCACTAAGATGATTTCTCTGCCTTTGCTTTCTCATGCCCTTGGATGATGTTATAATAGTAATTCAGATGAATCTTCAGTTTTATAACTGTAGGCCAGTGATGGTGAAACCTTTGGGTTTGGCATGTCAAAAATTCAGAAAATGCCTAACTTGATTCTACTACACATACCCAAACAAAAGAGAAGCAGTTCTCTGTCTTTTCCACCCTCCTCACCACCATCTAAGTCATCTTGAATAGCAGCACCCGATGGCAATGCCAAGGCTGGGTCTGAAGTAGAGGCCTGGGCCTCAACTTCAGCCCTATTACCATCACTGCCATTCCAAAAGCTATCTCATGCCATTGCTCAACAGAGAAAAGACTCGGAGACTGATGTAGTTGCCCTGCAGCCTAATGGCCCCCAAGATCTGCCATGTTCTTTTGCCTTCAGGCAGTGTTCTCTTTCAGTTGACAGGCCCTATGGCCTACCTGAGATTGCTTTGTGTCATACAAGGCTTTTCTTCTTGCAGAACAAAATTCCTGCAGCACTCTTGCAGAATGCTCTTCCGTGGCCTGAGGCCTCCAAAAACCACACCAAAGCACTCCCTGTTCTTATATGGTTTTTGGTGACTCTAGTGGCCACACAACAGTACACCCGATTCTCACAATAATTCAGAAAACCACACAAGAACAGGGAGTGCTTTCAAAAATAGTTTTTGTCAGATGTTGAACTCTGGTGTGTCACCCAAATCACAATGGTGTGTCCCCTTTCCAAGAATTGCATGTCATAGGTTTGCCATCACTGACATAGGCCAGTGGTGGGATTCAGCCAGTTGGCACCACTTCAGGAGAACCGGTTGTTAACTTTCTGAGCAGTTTGGTGAACTGGTTATTGGAAGAAATCATTAGGGCAGAGAACCGGTTGTTAAGTTATTTGAATCCCGCCACTGACATAAGCCATTACTCATAAGAGATCATTTACTACGTCACTTCAAAATCTAGAATGAAATGAAAAGCAACTATCAAATGAAATATGTGTTGATGCAATTCAAAGTACCAAAGCATGTTTTGCCTTTTTTTTACATAAATGAACAGTTCTAACTGCCCAGCAGACACCTATTTCTGAGTATGTTCCCTTAGCCTGGTGAAGATGTATATTTATGTATTTATAGAAGTTATTGAAAATAATGCAAACTAAGGAGTGATCAAGTAGCAATATAGATGGCAACCATATCAAAGACATACCCAGTTTTTCTGTTTTCATAGGAACAAGAAATATCACTAAGGAATAACCGTGTAAGTAAATTAAGACATGCTACTCAATTGATATATGTCATTATTTCCTGTTCGTTGCTTACCTGATTCTCCTCGTGGGAAACCCTCATTTGTTCTTTCAAAACAGACATTCTGGCTGCTTCCTCTTTGCGCAAAACTCTTTCTTTTTTAAGCTCTGGACTCCAGAAGGTTTTGATGCTATTCATGGAAGATCCAAGCTTGCTATCCTTGATGTCTAGCTCTTTCCTTAGAAGGTCATTTTCTCTTTGTAACTCCTTCAGCTGAGCCTGTAAATCTAGCATGGTGCTGTCTCTTACTTGCCTCAGCATGGAAGGAATTTGATGATGGTGATGATGTGAGGAAGTGGTCAACCCTCCATGCTGATCAGTATAAGAAAGGAGATCTGAATGGGAAAGGCCAACAGAAGCAATATTAGGGCTGCTTCCCATCGCTGTAACTCGTCCACCGTAGACAGCTCGATTTGTAGCCCTTCCAAGAGTCATTGTGCCCTTTGGGAAAGTAGTAGATGCCACACCTTCATGGTCACTCAGATACATTGGTCCAGATGTTGCATAGGCAGCATTAAGTGACTGAATGTTCTCCATTGATAAAGTTTTACCTGTCCCTCCACCTCCTCCACTACTTGTTCGCCGATGGCCCAGGCGGGGCGACCGCGGCAAACGTGGAGATCTGGCAGGACTGCCTTCCAGGTTACTGATTGTTCTTGCACTTCCATACATTTTGATTTTACTGTGAGGTACTACTTAACAAGAAACTATTCTTCTCTTAAGTAGGATGCCTAGCATTAATTTTCAGTTGGAAATGTTGGCAAACAGCTTCACAGCACTCTTCCAGAAGGCAACACATTCGTTGAAATCAATTTTCCAGGTTCAAGATCTGAAAATAAAGCAACAATGTTATTGTTGTGCAAGTAACACTATAGCAGCGACATCTGGGAGAACTAATTCATGTCATATATCAGGTTATATAAATTGCAAATCCCACTCACTGAACTTGGTAATCTTTTTTTTAAGTCTTCATATTTATATTCTTTCCAATTAGTATCCAAAGGTTAGAAAAGAGGAAATGCTAAAAATACCATATTACACTATAGGAGCACAGTGCTAAAAACTGATGAAATCTTGCATTGCTAGAAATTCTCCAGGTCGTATAATTAATCCTGAGTATCAAAAATAAGATGAGTATTTAATAAATAATGCTTAATTAAAGAAGGTAAACTATCATTGTACCAAAGAACATATTTTTATTATTATTTATAGCTTTGCTTCATTCATATGTCATGAAATTCGTATGGTCACTGAATACACAGAACTAATAGTCATATGGCCAGAAACATGATGGGTAATTTCCTGCTCCCAAAGCAGCAATCATAAAGATTAGACTTTATTTATTTATTTATAACATTTATATTGGCACCCATCTTTCAGCCAACTCTGGGCAGCTCTCATCCAAGATTAGAAGACCTTTAAAATAATTTTAAAAACTAAAAAAATGCAACCAGTTAAAACATAAAACATTAAAATAACAAGATCCTGGTGCAATCTGTGCTAACGTGGCATCATCTGATCTTTTCCCAATGCTTGATGGGAAAGCTGGGTCTTTAAAGCCTTATGGAAAATTAAAAGTGTGGAGATCTATCTATCTCGGCCAGTCCACCCAACTGCTCTGGAAACAAGCCAACACCAGAACGGAATAAAGCAGTTGCAATCCTTTAATTAGGTTCAGCACAGCAAACACAGGCAGGAGAAAGGCACAAGCCGGAAACAAGGTTTAAAGTTAGCGCTACACGCAATCGCAGTGTAGCGCCTTTTATATACACAGCAATAAATCAAGTGGCAATTAAACAGTTAACATCACCCCTCCTTCCCCTAGCTGGCCTGAAGGAGGAGCACAATAAATCAATTAACAATCAAACAGTCAACATCATCCCTCCTTCCTCAAGCTGGCCTGTAGGAGGAGCGCGCCTCTGTTACAGCACAAGGCATCGTCATCTGCAAACACCATGCCCCCCCATCTCCGATGAAAGAGTTTGCTTCGTTTTGTGTGCGGGTGGTAAAGACTTCTCAAACAGCTGATGACACGCCCCCGGAGAGTCCAACAGCTTGCCCCCTCCTCGTCGTCCTCCCTAGTGATGGCGAGACCCAACCGAGGCTCGACAGGCGGCTCCTCTCTACCAGGAGTCCACCTGCAGGAAATAAAATAAAGATGTCAGCATAGCAACCGTTCTACTCACTGGGACCTGGTTTATTTGGATATTTACGATGATACCGACGGAGCAACCGGTCGGCATGAATGTCTGGAGCTGCTACCCAAGATGCTTGTGCTAGTGGATAACCCTTCCACCGTACTAAGTACTGTAACCTGCCTCTACGTAGACGTGAATCCAATACTTTATCTATCTCATATTGATCTGAATGACTCGGTCCCGGGGAAACAGGCTGATGTGTGGGCCTTTCCTCTTTGACAGGTTTAAGGAGGCTACTATGAAAAACAGGATGTATTTTTCCTAACAGTGAAGGTAGCTTAAGCATGACAGTGACAGGGTTGATCACACGTATTATAGGAAAAGGACCTATGTATTTGGGACCTAGTTTCCTACTAGGTAATCGTAATTTCAAGTATTTTGTCGATAGATACACGTGATCCCCTACAGAAAACGGTTTTGGGTCGGCTCTTTTTTTATCAACATAAAGTTTGTATTCATTTGCTGCTTTTTGAAGCGCCGTTTTTACCGCTGGCCACGTTTGTCGGATCTTGTCGGCCCAACCGGAATGTGTAGATACCCCTGTAGCTGGAGGTTCTACCTCAGGTATGGCAGGGAATTCTCTTCCATAGATGATTTGGAAAGGAGAAAATCCCGTGCTACGGTGGCTGATATTGTTGTACGCGACTTCAGCGAACGGGAGTAAGGCAGACCAATCAGTTTGCTGATACGAAACGTAGCAACGTAGATATCGTTCCACAGCGGCATTAGCCCGTTCAGCTGCTCCATTTGTACTGGGATGGAAGGCTGAACTTAATCCTTGAATGGACCCTATCCTGTGAATGAAAATCTCCAAAACTGGGCGGTGAACTGGACACCCCGATCTGATATAATACGCTTCAGGACCCCGTGAAGGCGGGCGGTAGATATGTTGTATAAACATGTCTGTCAATCGTCGGGCAGATGGTAAACCCCGACAGGGTATAAAATGCGCCTGCTTTGAAAATAGGTCTACTACAGTCCAAATAACGGTATGTCCATTGCTGGGCGGTAGGTCCACTATAAAATCCATCGCCACTTCCTCCCACGGACGACTAGGATCAGCCACCGATTGTAATCGACCGAGTGGTTTTCCTGACCATGGTTTTGCTGCCGCGCATGTGAGGCACGATTTAACATAACGTTCAATTTCACCACGCATTCGTGGCCACCAAAATTGACGTCTAATCAGGTGAAGTGTTTTAAGGAAACTGTAATGACCTGTTGGTTTGGCATCATGGCACCGTCTTAAAACTGTAGTTCGAAGCGGTTCTGGAATGTATAAACGATCCCCATTCCACCCTAATCCATCTCGTAAGATTACTGACGTTTGGTTTTGATTTACCCACGTATCCTGGCTGATAGCTATCCGAAGATTCGTTAAGAAGGACGCTTTTTTCCATAACACCGCCGCAACCGCATGCCCACTCTCAATAGGTGGTATAAGAGATTCCACTACTTCCTCGCGCTTACTGTTATATTGTGGCATACGAGAAAGTGCATCGGCAAGGAAGTTCTTTCCTGCTGGCACATATTTGAGTCTGAAATTGAATCTTCGAAAATATTGTGCCCAGCGTAGTTGTTTTGGGGACAGACGTCTAGGCGTTTGTAATGCCTCTAAATTTTTATGGTCTGTCCATACCTCAAATGGGATAGTAGCCCCTTCCAGGATGTGACGCCACGTAAGTAGAGCCCAACGGACAGCGAAGGCCTCCTTTTCCCAGATCGCCCACCCTCGCTCTGTGGTGTTTAATTTACGTGAGGTATAAACACAAGGGCGTATCCTATCCTGTTCATCTTTTTGCAGCAACACAGCTCCCACAGCAACGTCGCTAGCATCGGCTTGAACGATGAATTCACGAGACAGATCAGGGTGTTTAAGTACCGGTTCTCTGGTAAAAAGATATTTCAACTGTTCAAACGCACTTTGACATTGAGCTGTCCACTGCAATAACTGGTTTGGTCTTGGTTTTATCACAGGAGATTTAGTGCGTAACAGGTCTGTTAACGGTAGTGCTATAGCGGCAAATGCAGGGACGAATTGGCGATAGAAATTCGCGAAACCAAGGAAACTTTGGAGTTGTTTCCTGGTTTTCGGTGCTTGCCACTCAACTATAGCTTGGACTTTACGTGGATCCATTTCTATCCCATCGCTTGAGATCCTGTACCCGAGGTAATCTATCTTCGACTTATGGAACTCACATTTCGAAAGCTTTATAAACAGTTTAGCTGCTAACAACTTCTCTAAAACCTGACGGACTAACACAACGTGTTCTTCCAAGGTGCGCGTATATATTAGAATGTCGTCTAAATAAACAAGAACTCCTCTATACAAATGTTCATGCAAAACTTCGTTGATAAGCTGCATGAACACCGCTGGAGCGCCTTGAAGTCCAAACGGCATAACTCTATATTGGTAGCTACCAAGAGGGCAGTTAAAAGTGGTCTTCCATTCATCGCCCTGTTTGATACGTACTCGGTAGTACGCTTCCCGTAAATCGAGTTTTGTAAATACCCGTCCTGTAGATAGCGCAGCTAACAAATCCTTCATAAGCGGAAGGGGGTATAGATGTTCTATACATACTCCATTCAAATCTCGGAAGTCAACACATAACCGAACCCCACCGTCCTTCTCCCTGAAGAAGACTGGGGCAGCCATCCTAGATCTACTAGGGACGATGAAACCTCGAGCTAAATTTTTGTCGATATATTGTCGTAACTCGGATAATTCTTGTTGGGTCATGGAATACATCTGAGGTTTCGGTAACTTAGCCCCAGGCACCAACTTGATAGCGCAATCCGTAGTCCGATGGGGGGGGTAGTACTTCGCATTCCTCTTCACTAAACATGGCTAAAAGGTCTTGGTAAACAATAGGAAAGTCCGGTGTAAGCAACACCTCTGTGGAGGCACAGCTATTGTCCTGTCCCTCATTCGACTGTCCCACTGAAGAAGCAGGGGATGGGACAGTAGGTCCCAAAGCGATTCTAAGCTTACGATAACCTCCCTCCCACCAGATGTGAGGTTGCCATTTATCTAACCATGTGAGACCCAGAATAACTGGCTCTATCATTTTTTCAACCACAATAAACTGGATGGACTCTTGATGTTCACCTATCACCAACAACACTTGTTCAGTTACGTGGTTAGCAGGCGCCCCCCCCCCCCAATAATGACCCGTCCATCTGTTCGAACTTCACAGGAACTTTTAGCTTTTTTATCTGTAGGCCCAGAGCATCCACCACACTTCTCCGCACCAAACAACGGGTACATCCAGTGTCTATTAAAGCACCATACTGAAAACCCATTGTGCTTCGGGGATTCCTCAGCACCACAGGTATGACAAAAGGAACACAGTTTTGCTCACCATAGGGTCCTCCGGCTCGTTGTCATCACTGTCCCCTGACACCACCGGGAATCTCCCCGCCACAGTGGTTGGTGTAATATCACGAACCTGATGATCTACGACGGACTTTGGTCCTTGAAGTGCTTGGGTACATTCTTGTGGCTGCCGTGGTCGGCCTCTGGTCGCTACCCCCGTAGCCGGCTTTCGGGTTTGTACTTGTACCGGAGGTACAGGACATTCAGTCGCTCTGTGTCCTATCTGATTGCAGCGAAAACAACGAAACGCCGGTC